GTCACCTGTTTTTAAAACCACTTAAGAAGCTCCTCAGAAACACAACAGCTACAACTACTTAACACTGCCCTCTGAGGAGAAAACAGCAGTCACTAAAGCTTTTCAATGTAGTTTAGGAAAAAGCCTAGCCAGCATTTTTGATAGGAGAGTGACTGCAAACATCTCTGATGGACACTAGCATTAGCATAGGATAAAAACCTTGTGATTTGAGTTAGTGTGGCAGGAGAATGAAAATCTCTCAGAGTCGATTTGGGTTCCTGTCCTTTCTAATTCTCTGAATTAGAAATCCTCACGAGAAATGCTATGTTGCCAAGGAAGCAAGATTCTCTCACCTGATTCTGTAACCACTGGTTCTTTCAACAGGACACGGCCCCCTGGCTTAAGGATCCGAGCTACTTCTGCCAGGAGCTCCACACTGTGCTGTGCTGTACTGCCTGGTACCATGCCAGAGAGGATTACATCAAAACTGGACTCCCTGTGAGCCGCTGTGAAGAAAGAGCAAGAGAATACATTTCAACATGTACACACACAGCTTAATACACCAGTTCCACCTCCCTCATCCCTCATGCTTGAGTACAACAGCAGGAACTGATTAAAGACACCAATCATAGAAGCACAGCCAGGGTGCATCACTTTTCCTGCTGTACTGCCCAGGGTAAGAGTCAGCAGCAGGTGCTGTCAATGTTCTGAGTGCTGACTCCCGAGGTGGGAAAGTGTTGGCTGACACAGCAGCAGAACCCTCTCCTTTTGAAGGTAACAGTGAAAAATTAAGCTCATTCTTACACTTAGGCAGTTGGTTAACATTTTCCACAGAGATATGATTATCAGCTCCCACCAGTGACTGGACTTTATTCACCAAATCCTTCAGGGCTTCGACCGGCGAGGAGCTGTCCCAGATGATGGCCACGCGCTGGCCTGGAGCCACTCCGTACTCCCCCATTTCTGCAGCAGCAAACGTGGCAGGGGCTGGGGGAGAGAAAGGAAGGGTGAGTGCTGAGCACAGCACGAACCTCTGTGCACTGTGACTCAATCAGCTGAGTTGTTTTAATAAATGGCGATAATTTTCTGGAAATGGGCAACACAAAGTTCCCACAAATTGAGCGCTAGCAGGACGTGAAGAAAGAGCTACACTTCAGGGAATAATTCCATTTCTCTCCAGTTCATTGCTGGGAGACTGCATGCCATGCTTTAAAGAAACCAACAAAATAACAAAAAAACTTACCTGCTTTCCTTAAAAATCTGAACAAGACAAACACAGGATTTCTGGATTTCCTGAGCAGTGACAGCTATTTGACATTAAACACGGCCTTGTGTCTCCTACTCCAAACAGGACCTAGCAGAGCTTGCTTATGCAGTACATGAGAAGAAAAAATTAACTTTCTCAGCATTCCAGACTGAGGCTCTTCCCACCATTACGATTGGTGGCACTGGATGAGCAAATTACAGGGAGGGAGGAGCGGAACAGAACGTGCAGTGACAGTTTTGAGAAAGCTGTCTCCACTGATATTTTATATAAGATTGTATTCCTTGTATGGCAATAGTATCCCATCATCACCAGTTCTCATAGCAGCACCAGCTACTGAACCTCATGACCCCCCCTCTTTCCTCTATCCAACACAAACCTATTTTCTTCCTAATTTAACACGACCACAGACAGCACTGTTGACCAGAACAGTTGCCCAGTCTATCTTCAATTAGCTGGAAATGACACACCTATTTCTGGAGAGACAGTTGTAAGCAAGGTCTTTACCAAGAATCACTACATCACACATCCTTTGTAATGCCTTACTGCCACCACACTGTCACTAAAGTATACTGTACCAAATTTGACTGCAGTGAGATGGGGAGTGGATTTTGACCCACAGTTCCTCTGGCTCTGTGTGCTGTGGACTCCCCCTCCCTCCTGGAAACTGCCAACAAGTTCAGAATAGGACAATCTGCACCTTTTCTGAGCTACTGTGGTAGGAATTCACACTAAAACAACCACAATACCAACCCAGTAGGGAATATACACCTTGGATGTAGACTGCAGGCTTTAACATCTCACAGCTGGTTTGTGACACAAGCTAAACAGCTACAGCAGACAGTAACATTTGTAATCACGCATATTAATCCCATTAAAAAGTCACCTTTCCCAAGAAGAAGGCTCAAAACCTCAAAAGATACCTAAGCTGCTAGGCTAAGATGGGAAAGATAAACCCGAAGTCACAGCTTCCTCTCTGAACAGCACGTTATGACCTTGCAAGATCAGTCAGAGCCCAAATTGCATCAAGAGCAACACCACCTCCCTGAGATACTGCGAGGAGGCCGAGGATCCCGTGTGGATGGTGTGAGGAGGGTTCCTTATCTCCATGTCACAGACATTTAACAGTCCCTGAGGAACAGGGCAAGGCAAGGGGTTAAACAATAGCGCAGGCTCCGCTTCAGTAGATTAGAAAGTTGCTGTGTTGGAATGGGATGATCGTGACAGTCCTTTCCAACCCAAACCATTCCAGGGCTGTAAACTGCAGTCTGCTAACGCAGCACAACCAGATTCCAGCGGCCGGGAACGCTCCGGCTTCCAGCGGCCCAGGAACGCCCCGGCTCCCGGGAACGCCCCGGCTCCCGGCGGCCCGGAACGCTCCGGCTTCCAGTGGCCCGGGAACGCCCCGGCTCCCGGCGGCCCGGAACGCTCCGGCGGCGTTCCGGCCCCACAGCGAGTGCGCATTTTAAGCGCATGGGGAACGGGCCCAGTAAACTTCTCGGTCACCGAGCAGGGACGGTTCAGCGGGAGCAAGGACAGGAGACGCGAGGAAACTTCGTGAATGAATTACTGAAACACACATCCCACCACCCCTTCAGACGAGGTCTTAGGAAAGATTTTTAAGGGTAAAAAGGGGGAGCGCCAGCCCCGTCCCGCTCCCCACTCACCTCCCGCGACTGGGCCCGCTCGGCTCCGCTCGCCCGTCCCGGCCTGACGCCGTCACCGTGACGTCATCGCGCTCTGCCCGCTTCCAAGATGGCGGCGGCGGGCGGGCTGCGGAGCGCGGGCTGGCGGCTGTGGCGGGGCCGCGCGGGTGAGGGCGGGGGGAGCGCGCCGGGACGCGGGGCGGGGAGGGGCGGGAGGGATGGGGTAGCGCGCCCCGTGCGCGCCCCCATGCGCGCCCCCGTGCGCGCGACCCGGCGGGGCGGGGCGGGGCGGGGCGGGGCAAGGTGAGGCGAAGGGCACCGGGGTGTGAGGGGAGCGCGGCGGGTGGGTGTGAGGGGGATTGTCCGGTGCTGGTTTTCGTTAGAGGCGTGGGCCGTGAAACCCAATTTATTTTAAAAAAGCCGCCAAATCAAATAAACAGCAACTAAATGAAAAGTTCCGCCAGAGTGTCGTTGGGTAATCGCTCAGGGGTTAGTGTCTGGTGTCTGTCAGGGCTCTTCAGCTCCTGAGTTGTACTTGCTTTATATCCCCTGCTCGGAATCAGCACATTCCTCCCAACTCCTGAATTGGGGACCAAAATGGGAGAGGGCATGTTTGGGTGCCTGGTTTCCAGTCCAAGATTGGGAAACTGCTCTGTTCTTTCCGTCACAAAACATTTTTGCTTCATTCACACAGACATGAGCTCAGCTGAGAGTGGCACTTAACAGAAGCGTAAAAAAAGATACTATGAATTTGTGTTCTTTTCAGCTGCGTTCACCACAACTCTCTTCACCTTAATTTTCCGTGCTTCCTGGAGTTGGAAGGAGATGTGACTCTTGGTTTCCCTTGCAGTGGTCAGGTGCCAGCAGTACCCACCGCTCCGTGCTCTCCAGGCCTCGGCCGCGCTGAGGAGAGCCTCCGATGAGCACAGGAAGGAGCCATTGGCATCTTCCTCTCAGCAGCACTTTGATTCACCTCCAGATGGTCACCAGCCTGAACAGAAACCTCAGGGCCCTCATCCCAGGTAACTCAGCAGCTCCTTCTAGCACTGTCCCACTGACAGAGCGATTGGAAGGCTTTTGCTCTCCTGAACCTCACATCTGAAGCTGAAAAACAACAAGATCCAGAGTTAAGGAGCCCCAGACTGCAGCAGCTGGAGAGCTGGTTTGCTGTGACCATGCAGATTCCACCATGGAAACAATATGGGGAAGCTTTCTGCAAAGCACAAGTCTTTGCTCTGGGGTTTTTGTGTGAATCTAAAAAAACAGGGACCGTATGTTGTCCATACACTCATAGTATAAAGCTCACGTTGGAAAAGGTTATAGTATACTTTTCTGTAAAGGAGGGGGATGTGGGGCTGATTAGTCTCCATGGAGGCATTTCCATTGAGCCCTCCTTCCCTTATTTTTCTCTTCTCTCTCAGCAAAGGTTCGTTAAGGATCGTTTTTCTAGACAGAGAAGGATTTTACTGGAGGAGGCCAGGTTTATACTAAGCAGGTCTCAAAATGTGCCTGGTGTCAGCGAGTGAGTGTCAGAGCCCAGGTTCTGCTGTTTGGTGGTGACATTCTCCTCACTGTAACAATACCTTCTCATAGTTACACTGGCCAGGGCGGCCAGGAGTCTGAGGACTATGAGAGCGAGGAGCAGCTGCAGCATCGAATCCTCACAGCGGCGCTGGAGTTTGTGCCTGAACATGGCTGGACTGCAGAGGCCATTGCAGAGGGAGCCAAGGTATGTGGGGAGAGAAGCAACAAACCAGTTGAAAACTGGATGGAGCTGAAGTGCAGAGACAGCCAGGCCTGCATGCTTCCCCCACATACTCTTGGGCGATGCACCCTGGTCAGCAAATGCTACTGGGCAGAAGTGAAACCCAGCTGCTACAGGAAAACCCCTTCAGAGATAGACTAAGGCACAGTGCAGAGTAGTGAATCCTAAAGAGAGAACGTGTCTAGGAAGTACTTTTTAATGCAGTGTTGCTTTGTTTCAATTCACATCATGTCTTTCACAAAATAAATACAACTTTTTTCTAGCTGGATCCTGCTTTGCAGTGTCTGACCTGGTCTGTCCTTCTCTCTTCTTCCCTACAGACCCTGGGCCTCTCTGTTGCTGCAGCAGGGCTGTTTCACAGTGATGGCAGTGAATTGATCCTGCACTTTGTGTCTGAGTGCAACACCAAATTGTCCGAGCTGCTGAGGAAGGAGCAGAAATTGGTGCAGCTGGGTGAAGCAGAGTGAGTACTGGGTGTGAACAAATGTCTTCCTTTGTAGATTTTGGGAGCTGGGTAGACACAGAGGCCACCTGGAACACAGATGCTTTAAGTTAAAAGTATAATTACCCAAATAAAACCATCTTCCCAGATACAGACTAGGACAAAAGGCATGAAGGATATATAATACTTTGCTTATCTATTGCTCAACTAGGTGGAGGTTGATCTTTCAAGATCAGAATTGAGTTTAACTTGGATATTCTTCTTAACTTTTTTTTCCTTACTCAGGAAGAAGCCTCTAGATGAATTCCTGAGAGATGCTGTGGAAGCCAGACTGAGGATGTTGATTCCATATATTGAGAAATGGCCCCAGGTATAAAAGTAATATCAACACCGTCTCTTTTGAGTGTATTTTAAATACCCTGTGACTTTCAACATAGTCTCTCCACCAGATTAGTTCAAGGTAGTAAATGAAGCCCTGGCTGCTTTCAAATGATTAGTAGCCTTGAAGAGGAGAGCAGCCTTGGAAGGAGGCAGTTAAAGTGACCTTAGAGCAACTGTTTCTCGAAGTTCTGGAAAGGCCAAGCTCTCTGTTGTTCACTCCACCCATCTGGCATCCCCAGGGGATTACCTGTGTCTCTGCTCAGTCCTGTTTGCAGGGTCACTGCGAGTCAGCCTCTGTGCAGTGTTGTTGTGGCTGCACTGGGATCACCTCACGCCTGGAAATGTAGAAATGCTTTGCTGCAGGGAACTGTCCTTCGAGTGTGTGACTGACAAACACCTGCAGGGTAGAGGGTAGAGCTGTGAACTGAGAGGGCTCCATGCTTCTAAATTCAGATTTAACTCTCAAGCCATTCTTCCCACAGTGGGAAGGGAGTTGGATTGTGGCTACAGTGATAAGCAAAGAGTTCCTAATCTTGGGCTGCAAAGATTGCTGCAAGGTCAGCCTCTGTCCAGAGCCCCTGCTGGCCTCTGGGCAGCTGAATCCTGCACCCCATGCACAGAGAGAGTGTACAGGCCTCATGTTCTTCTTTCAGATTAGCATAATTTGCCTTGTGAAGGATGTGGGTGGTTTGTGTCTCTCCTGGCACTGTGTGATTATGTTCAAAGGCTGCAGGATCCCAGCAGGGCCATTATTGCTGGTGCTGTTCTGCCCTTGGTTGCAGCTCGGAGTTCAAAGTCAAATTCAGAGAAATGAGAGATGTGACTCCCTGCCCACAGGGGCACAGCACAGTGTGAGTCAGCTCAGGCTCTGATGTTTCCATGGCAGAGAGGCAGCTCAGGAGAGACAGCACAGGGATGTTTGAACTGAGCAGGGATCTTTCAGCTCCAGTACAGGCTGAGGTCTGAACTTACGAGCCACACTGTGTGTTCCCTGCACATACTACTGCTTGTAAAGACTGCAAAGAGCTGGGAGAACTTGTCACTGGGAGCTGGAGCAACAGGGAAAAGATAACAGGGCAGAGCAGTGTTGGTCTCTTTTACTGTTACATCCTTCTCTCTTTGGTTCCCATTTCCATGTGTGTTTGGTTTGCAGGCCCTGAGTGTCCTGTTGCTCCCACGTAACATCCCTTCCAGCCTCAACCTCCTCACCAGCATGATTGATGATATCTGGCACTATGCTGGGGACCAGTCCACAGATGTGAGTCCTTGTGCTTTGAGGACAAGCTGGTTCTACCCCTCAGCACTTTGGCAAAATCACGGGTTCAGATAGGAGTGGGGCTGAGTCTGTCTGCAAATGGCTTGTTTGTGGAGTGAAGAAGGCATTTCAGAGGCACCCAAGGGTCCTTATAAACCACAGTCTAATTTCTAAACAGACTTAAGAGCCACTGAGACTAAATGCAAATTACTGCAAATGGGATTAGTGCAAATTAAAAGGACCTACTTTCCTAAGCTCTTAAGTGCTCTTTTTTCTTTTTTGAAGGCACAGACAAAGTTGTTGAGATTTTGAGACTGAGAAGTTAATCCAGTTTTCAGTAAGTGAGCAGTGGGTTTGTCAAACAGCTCTCTTCTACCAGCAATAGCATTTACAGACTTGACTTGAAAACCTTTAAAGAACCTACCTAAAAATACCAGTAGCTTATTAAAGCTTTCATCTTTCTGGCAGGAAATAAAAGAAAATTATAACCTTAATTATAGCAATTAATAAATTACTTTAATTCTTACAGATGTAGGGTGAGATGGAAAAAGCTAAATGAATCATTTTAACAAACTACTTTAATAAGCTTCTTTTATCTATGTATAAAAGAGAAGCTACTGCAGTGAAAAATAAATAAGACAGCAGAAAAATTAAAGGAATAAACCAGAAGACAACTGAAAGAACACGATTGCTTCAGGAACTGAAAGTCCCTTATGTGTTATGCAAGTCAAATCAACATGTTGGAGCCAGTGTCTGCACTGAGCTGTTCCTAAAGTCTCACTGATGCAGGGATTAGGAGAGGTTCTAAAGTTGTGTTTTGTTTGCACCTCCTAACTGGTTGCATGAGTTTTCCAGGGAAGCTGTGATGCTGAGCCTGCTCCCTCTGTCCCAGTAATGTCGCTCACAGCAGATCCCTCTTCCCAACAGCAGGAGCCAGGCAGAGCATTCTCATGCCTCAGAGACCCCTTCATGTGGGTTTTTAGGAACCAGAAGAGAACAGGAAGAGTTTTGTCTCAGGCCCTGAGAGATCCAGCTGCAAATGGCAAATCCCTCTCTATGGGAAGGAGCGTGCTGTGGGTGTGGGATTCTCCTTTGCTGTTCTCTGATAGCTGCACTCTGGATGTGCACTCAGCTTTATCTCTCTGTGCCCCTGTGCAGTTTAACTGGTACACTCGGCGAGCTGTGCTCACCGGCATCTACAACACCACGGAGCTGGTGATGATGCAGGACTCGTCCCCTGGCTTTGAGGACACTTGGCGCTTCCTAGAAAACAGAGTGGCTGATGCCATGACCATGAGCAACACAGCCAGTCAGGTAAGCTTAGGGACAGGTGTGCATGCAGCAAATCCCTTCTGCACAAGGATATATGCAGGCATACCTGGCTTTTCCATCATGCATGTCTGCTGAGGATCAAAATCAATAAATGATGATTTGGGTTTTAGTAAACTGACATATAGGTGCCCTCTTTGTCAGACTGTCCCAGTGGTTAGGAGACATCCCAGGAAACCCTTTCCATGTGCCTTGTCTGTGGCTGTCACTTGTCTGCAGTGCTGTCAGCACCTTTCTGTAGCAGAGATGTGTTTGTTTTGCATTCCCTCTCTGTGTTTGGGGCCACGAGTGCAACTGCAGGAAGCAAAAGGTCGTGTTCTCCCTGTGTCTCCCAGGTACAATCCACTGGAGAAGCTGTTGTCCAGGGCCTGATGGGAGCTGCAGTTACTGTAAGTAATGCTGAAACCAGCAGGGCTGTGAGAGCAGGAATGCTTCTGAATGCTAGCATGTGTTTTCCTCCCACATCTAGAGGACAAAATGGAAAAACTATTGTCTTTCATAACTTAGGTTTAAGGGTGATTTCCTTGGTAGTTTGAGGTTAGTTCGCTGTTTTGTGGTGAAAGAACTTGAATAGAGCATAAGGAAATTAAGTCTGAAGCTGCAGGGTGAGCTTTAGGGATGAGAGACAGGTGATCACAATAAATACAACTGTTCTCCATTGCTTGTCACAAGATCTCTCCCTGTGCCAGGCCCTGTGCTGGAAATCTTGACAGAGGGTCAGTGGCCCCATGGATACTTGGGAGGTGGCACCTGTCCCTGAGCCACAGCAGGGTGACTTCCTCAAGCTGTTTCATTTTACTTCGGTGTCCTTCCAAGAATTCATTTACTTCTTGGTAGTGTCCTGGACTGCTTTCTGTCCATGCAGAGGGAGCTGCGCTTCCTCTGGGATACAAAATAACCCTTTGTGTACCCAGGAGTGACTTTTGAAGGACTTCAGGGCCTCACTGTGATCTATTTTTGGACAACTCCCATTGCATTTAGCAACAAAGTGATTTCCTTGTTATCAGCAATACATTTACCTTGTAGCAGGACAAGACAAATAGGCTGGAACATAAATTAGACATTGTTTTTACTGATGAAGCACTTAAGAGTTCCTCCCACCTCCTTCCCCCTGCAGTTGTGGTGGAATTTAGTGTCTCTCAGGCTCTCTCCTCTCTCATACCTGCATATGCCAAAAGGATCCTCCACTGGAGAAGTCCCGGGCTCTGTTTTACACCCACACGATGCTCTCGGGTCCGGGCTATCTCCCACTACCGATGTTTGGTCTGTCCCTGCAGCAGATCCACTGCCCGGATAAACGGGAGGACCTGGATGCATTCTGAATCTTAATGCCCCAAAAGCAGAGATGCACTGCCGAGGCCGCAGAAATCAACCCAAGCTGAAACCTCCAGGCCGGGAGGGCCGGTTCCGCTCCGAGCGGCGGCCGGAGGTGGCTCCGGGTTTGATTCGGGAATCAAACCATCCCCAGAGCACAGAGATGCCGCTCGGCCCCGCATCTCTGCTCGGAGCACACCGGCCTCCCCTCGGCGCCTGCTCCGGCGGCCGCCCGGGACAGGGGCACTAAACCCCATTCTCCCTGTGCCCACAGATCAAGAACCTGGCGGGGCTGAACCAGCGCCGGTGACGCGGCAGCGGCGGCGAGCACCGGCGGGAGCGCGGCCCGCCCTTCCCCGGCACCAATAAAGTCGTACTCAGCCTGGCACGGACTCTTTTTACGGGCGCACCGGGGCGGGGCGGAGCGGGCGGCGGGCGCGGGGCCGGGAGCGGGCCGGGAGCGGGGCGGGAGCGGGGCCGGGAGCGGGGCCGGGAGCGGGGCCGGGAGCGGGGCGGAGCGGGCGGCGGGCGCGGGGCCGGGAGCCGGGCCGGGAGCGGGCTCGGGAGCGGGGCGGCGCCGCCATGCCGTACGCCAACCAGCCCACCGTGCGCATCACCGAGTTGACGGACGAGAACGTCAAGTTCATCATCGAGAACACGGACCTGGCGTGAGCACCGCCGCGGGGCCGGGAGGGGCAGGCCCGGGGGTGAAGCGGCCCCGTGGGCCCGGCTTCCCGCGGGTGCGGCCGGGCAGGGTCTCTGAGGCAAAGCCCCGCAGCAGCCTCGGCCAGGTCGGTGTGGGCCTGAGCCTCACGCTCCCTCATGCCCACACACGGGTGTTTCCCTCCCTCAGGGTGGCAAATTCCATTCGAAGAGTGTTCATCGCAGAGGTCCCCATCATAGGTGAGGCCTTTCGCTTGCTTGTGGTCGCAGTGCCTTGGGCATCTTTCCCTCCGTGTTCTCCCACACCTCCTCTCTGCTTTTGGCTCTACTTATCCGAGTTCACCCATTACTGTGCCCTGCAGATGCTGCCTCAGTGTCTCTGCAATGTTTTCTGTGTCCTTGCAGGCTGGCTTTTCCCCACATGAGTATTTCTCAGTTTGTGACTTTCTCTTCTCTGCAGCCATTGACTGGGTCCAGATAGATGCCAACTCCTCCGTGCTCCACGATGAGTTCATTGCACACAGGCTGGGTGAGTGCTGGCTGGGGAGGAAGATGAAGGTGTGTTCTGGGCAAAATCAGGGTTAGGGGCACTTGTGGTCTGACTCGGACGTTCCTCTGATTTCCTGCTTCTCACAGGTCTCATCCCGCTTACCAGCGACGACATTGTGGATAAGATGCAATATTCCAGAGTGAGTCAAGCGAGATGCTGTGGGGAATCGCTCTGAGGGTGGTGGGTGTTTGCTCTGATGGGAAGCTCTGGCAGTTTCTTGTATAAAGCACATGTGTGTGTGTGTGTGTGTGCCAGGACTGCACGTGTGATGAGTTCTGCCCCGAGTGCTCCGTGGAGTTCACGCTGGACGTTCGCTGCAACGAGGACCAGACCCGGCATGTGACGTCTCGCGACCTCATCTCCAACAACCCGCGCGTCATCCCGGTCAGTGCCACCCCGCTCTGCGCTCACAGAATCACAGAAGCACTGCGTTGGAAGAGATAAAGATCATCGAGTCCAACCCAGCCCCAACACCTCAACTAAACCCTGGCACCGTGCCACATCCAGTCTTTGTTAAACACATCCAGGGATAGTGATTCCACTGCCTCCTTGGGCAGACAATTCCAGTACTTCATCACCCTTTCCGTTAAAAACTTTTTCCTAATATCCAACTTGTATTTCCCTTGATGCAGCTTGAGGCTCTGTCCTCTGGTTCTGTCAGTGCTGCCTGGAGAAAGAGACCAACCCCACCTGACTACAACCACCTTTCAGGGAGTGGTTACCACTCTCTAGAGTGATAAAGTCACCCCTGAGCCTCCTTTTCTCCAGGCTGAGCACCCCCAGCTCCCTTAGCCATTCCTCAAAGGGTTTGTGTTCCTCTGGACGCGCTCAAGCATCTCAATGTCCTTCCCAAACTGAGGGGCCAGGACTGGACACAGCACTCAAGATGTGGCCTCACCAGTGCCCAGTACAGGGGAAGGATAACCTCCCTGCTCCTGCTGAGACAGGGTGGCAAACACATGGAATGTAGACACATTTCACATTGCCTAAAGCTCCACTTTAACTGTAGTGGTAGAGCAAAGCAGGAGTTATCTGCAGGAGCAGCGTGTGCGCAGTGCTCTCCTTGTCTCTGCTTTGCTGTCCTTCACTTGCTGTCTGATGGGTGCAAAGCAGTGTGGCCTCGTCCTGCACCCCTCATCCCAAAATCCTTGGCTGCCCTGAGGCTCTGGCTTGCTGACAGCATGGCAGAGTGTGAGGAGCCTGGGCCAGGGCAGTGCTGCCAAGCAGCTCCTGTGCAGTTGTCTTGGGGAGGGTTGGTGGTGCCAAAGTGGGACAAAGGGAGTAACAGAGAATGTTCTAGTACACTGTTGAGGTGGATCCAGATGTCACCACAACCTGGGCTGCTCCTGCTGCCTGGTGATGGTGTGTGCCTGGGTAAAGCCCAGCTGGAGCCTGCTGTCTGTTACTTGCCTTTGGCTGAGTGCTGTGTGTCATCTTTAGCAGTTGTGGGAGTGACTTTAGGAACCAAGCAGATGTGCTGTGTTGGAGCACTCATTCAAGCTGATCTTGTCCCTAATTTGCCTGGTTCTGTTTGGCTGCTGCAGGTGACATCTCGGAGCAGAGACAACGACCCCAATGACTACGTGGAGCAGGATGGTGAGTGGTGGGTCACTGGGGATAAGAACTGTAGGAGGAAATTCCCTTTTCTCTCAGGTTCCTGGAACTCATTCTTCCTTTACTAGCTGTGTAACCATAAGGCAGCTGTAAATATGATACTTCAGAGCAGCTGGTGTCACTGCACAAGTGGGGTAGCATTTTGTCTTAATGCCACTCAGATTGTCCCAGAACTGAAGTCCTGTGTCAGAGGGTGCTTCTGTCTCTCCTTGTGAGAGCTTAGAGACAGCAAGGAGGTGAAATGCTGTGTTGCTGGCTGTTCCTTGGGGACCTGTGCAACTCCATTTTACTTTAGCTGTTCTGGGGTTGCAGCTGAGCCCCTCTAAGAATCCAAACCAACCCTGGATGCTGGTGACATCTTCCTGGGCACCAAAAATGTGCCTTTGCAGAGTGTGATCCAGCACACTCGATTCTCCCCTGTGTGCTTTTGCAGACATCCTGATTGTGAAGCTGCGGAAGGGGCAGGAGCTGCGGCTGCGGGCCTATGCCAAGAAGGGCTTTGGCAAGGAGCACGCCAAGTGGAACCCCACGGCCGGCGTGGCCTTCGAGTACGACCCCGACAACGCGCTGAGGCACACGGTGTACCCCAAACCAGAGGAGTGGTATGTCCTGCTGTCTGTCTGCAGGGACTGGGGAAGGTTTTCCAGCAGGCCACACTTACACTTCAGCCCTGGGGATGATGTGGCTCAGTAAGTGATGGGAAGCCTGCCTGCCATATCCCCTTGCGCAGACTCTGCTCCTGGGGTTGGGTAGCCACTCACTCGTTGGCAGCTGCATGCCAGGTGGACTGGTTTGTGGTCATCTTTTGTCCTCCCTCACATACCATTACTGCTGGTTTGCCTTGCTTTCATGCCCTTTTTCACCACTTCTTGCTGATTTCTTCTTCCCTGTGCAAGTGTTTTGTAGGTTGGAGTAAGATCTGAGGAAGGAACAGATCCATGTGGGATGAAGGAAGTTGCTATGAGAGCAAAGAGTGGCAGGTTGGGTTGCAAGACTGATTTTTCAGCTTGGCTTGAGGAAGCCCAGTATGGCTGTGATTTAACCCATACCTCTCCTCTGAAATACCATTTTGCAGAAGTTGCACACAGCTTCTCATCCAAAAGTGACATATTTTACTTTTGGAAAGCTGCTCCCCTGCTTTGGCCTGGGTGAAGACTTTATTCAGCATCCCTTTTCATGAATGTGTACATAAGCTGCTCCTGGCTCCATATCCCAGTGATCACCGAGCAGACATCCTGTCACTGGGCACTCTGGAGCCAGCAGCATAGGGAGGAACCAGGTGCTTTAGGGCAGGCTGAGAGCAGGGACTGGCCAGGGTGGTGGATGTGCTGCTGTAAACACTGACCAGTGGCAGGCTCACAGACTTGGTGTGGCATAAAACAGGGCACCAGGAAAGTTTTTGAGAAGTTCTAGGCAAAATATATGTAAAAGTTGGAAAAAACCTGAAAGAGGTTTGATATTGGAGCTGCCAGTTCTTGACAATGTCTGTGTTTTCAAGTTCATCTGACTCACTGTGAAGACAATACAGAGACAAAGCCTTCTGCTGTCCAAGGCCAGCTATGATTTTTGGTTTCAGTTTTTCATGCTAGTTGCTTTTTGAGGCTGTTGGCAGAGCAGGGTCATGAAAACAACAGTCAGCGTCATGGAGACCTCTGCACTATTTTGGTAATGCGTGGTTCTGCAAGTAACAAGAAATCCCACCTTCACTAACACTTCATCTGTCTCAGTGGTTTGTACAGGCAGAGGGTTTGTTTGGGAAATAGAGTTTTATTTCAGGCAGCTGATTACAGGGTGCTGGGATCAGTGTTTCTGGGCATCTCTGGGCAGAGGAAAGCCAGCTGGAGACCTTGGTGGGTACAGGATTTTCTGTGCTGGCTTCTCAGACAGCTCAAGGCTCTGGGTTTTCTTACACGGATTAAGTGGTTCCACACAGTCTCTCTGGTGTGGTGCTCTGTACACCAAGGGATGCAGCAGGTAGAAAGATGTGTTTGCCTAACTGATGCACAGGTATTGCAGTGATTTTAGTAGAAGAGTGGAGGTGCAGGACATCAGGATGGATCTCACTGATGCAGGTGGTGTCTGTTGTGCAGGAAATTCTTTTCCTTCTGGGTCCAAGCCAACTGTGCGTCACAGACTTGAGTGCTGGAATACTCCAGTGCTTTCCTGGCCCAGTGGGAACTAGAAAGAAAAAATAACCCAAGGTCCATTACTCCATAAAAGCATCCAAGCTCCATAAACACAGTCCTTTCAGGAATCAACATCCCTTCACTGTAAGCACCTGCCAGATTGTACCAGTGTAGGTGGATGGAGCCACAGTACAGGGCTTGCTGAGTTTGGGCAGAGCAGGGCTAATGCCCTTCTTCCAGTGCTGCTGGATGGCTCTGTGGCATTAATGAGGAGCAGAGAACGCAATGTGAAATGTGTGCTTTCTGAGCTTATGTCTGTGACTTGATGCTGTGTGCTGCACGTGAGCCCCAGAGCTCACTCATTGGGGCCAAGCGGTGCCTGGGCTCTGTGGGGCCAGGCTGGAGCAGGGGCTCTGTGTAACCTCTCTGCTCTCTGATTCCAGGCCCAAGAGTGAGTACTCGGAGATCGACGACGAGGATGCTCAGGCTCCCTACGACCCCAATGGGAAGCCAGAGAGGTAGAGAGCTGAACGCAGTGCTGCAGCTGGGAGATGGGGTGACTGGCTGGGTGCATCCCATGGGCTCTCACTAATAGAAGAGTGTCTACACTGTGCTGAAATTGCCAGCCCAGGGAGCTGACATTCCCTGAAAAGCAGGGCAGGAGTTGGCGTCAAGTGGTGATATACCTCGATGTGGCAGGTTTTCCCCTCTGGGAGATACTAGACAGTTCTCCTGAGCTCATGTTGCCAGGTAGGGTGGTGCACACTCAGTGAAGTGTGAGGCCTGCAGGGGAAATACCCTGGCTTAAGGTATTCATTCACCTGTGTGTGTCTCATGCTCTGATTGCTGGTGTTATTTGCACTGCAAATGCGCCTCAGCCAGCCTTAATCCCTGGCTTGGGGCTGCTGGCTCACAGGTCACAGTGCTGAACAGAAATCAATCTCATAAGTGCTCTTGCAGCCCATGAAGTAGTGAGTGTTGGTGTGATGGTTGTAGAGGGGCAGCACTGGCTGCTGCCTGGTTGGGAGGTGAATGATGATGATAGTGGCTGGGATTCCAGGCAGATCTCCCTGCTGTGGGTGTGGATGGGCTGGAATGATGTGATGTCTGGGTTTGCACCTCCTTGCAGAGGTGATGGTGACTTAACCCCCTGCCTTGTAACCTCAGGTTTTATTACAACGTGGAGTCCTGCGGATCTCTGCGCCCTGAGACCATCGTCCTGTCTGCACTGTCCGGCCTCAAGAAGAAACTGAGCGACCTCCAGACACAGCTGAGCCACGAGATCCAGAGCGATGTCCTCACTATCAACTGAGGTGGCCCTTGCAAGAGAGTACTGTGAGCTGTGAGTGATGCCTGGCTGAGATCTGGGGAGAGGCTTTTACCACCTCATCATCTCCTTCTGCCTTTCCTGGCTGGTGATACCTCTTGGTTGGTGGTACCTCTTCCCTGGCCCTCCTTCCCAGGGAAAGCCATTGTGATGTGTAGGGTAAAACAGGAAGGGAATCAGTCAGTGAGCATTTTAGCTGGGACAGGCTTTGTCTTCAAATGATCCTGGAGTTTTGGTTCTGGTGTTGGATTTTGGCCATGTGGTGTTTGGGATTGGGAAGTGTGCACCTTCGTTACACAACCCTACCTTATTTACATGTCCATTCTTTACTGTGCTGAATAAAGACTTATCCCCAAATTTTTCTGTTATCTCTGAAAGCTCATCCGAGGCTGCTGGAGGAGATGTCACATCATTTACTTCTCTCCAATAGACATTAACTTAATGAGATGTGCTTTGGAGGGAGCATTGCTTGCTGATGCTGATTGCTGCTGGTGGCGTTATCTCCTGAGGAGAGCAGCACCCTCCCGCAGGCAGCCCGTCGTTCATTGACCCAGTGCTGTGTGTAAAGCAGATGTTTGGGGCCAGGGTGGGCAAGATGCTGCAGAAGGAAGCACTGCAGGGGAGCCCAGCTGGGCCAGGCAGGCAAAGCTGTACTTACAGAATCCTCTGGAACAGACTCCACCCCTGTGCTGTATAACCCTTTTCTGAGGAGCTGGGTGGCACATGTTCTGTCAGTAAATGGTCCCTGGCTGATACCTTTCTTTGTGCCCACTGCCCCCAGGGTGTGCTGGGCTGCAGGTCCCATGCCTTGACACCACTGGCAGTGGCTGAAAGCCACTTTGTCATCCCTCTTCCTTCATCACTGCCCAGCATGACTTGGGATGATCTTCTTGGTGACATTTTTCTGGAGAGACCCACAGCTCCTGTACCATGGGGGCTGGTAGGGAGGGTGTGTGCCCCTGTGCTCATCCTGGTGTGGATGGTTCAGGGGAGTGGTGCTAGGGTCACACTGAGCTAGAGAGAGCAGCCCATGTCAGCATTGCCTTCCCCTCCCGGCAAAAGCTGCTGCAACCAGGCTGCTGCTTCCATTTCCTTGCCTTGGCAGAGCTGGCTGCAGCATGGCTCCCCATGTCCCTGTCCCTGGAGAGGTCACTGGCTGGTTGGCACGGCTGTCTTACCTTGAGGCCAGTGCTGCCAGACAGTCATGGCTTGGATAGTTTACCTGGCACAGCTGTGGGAGAGCTGGGAGATGGTGTGCCTTGAAACTCCTTCACCTGGGGACTTGGAGCCACCACTGGCCTGCCATATCCCCAGACCACGGGCAGCTGGAGGTGAGGATGACAGCAGGGTGCTGGCATCCTGTTCCACTCAGGGTTGTTTGATGGAGAGTGGCAAATCCCTTTATCCTTTTTCCTATCCCAGTGGTTTTAGGGCTTCACTTGAAGTGTCTTGGCCATGGCTGGAGGCAGAACAAAGCCCTGAGCCAAGCGTGCTGCCAGGAACCTCAGGAAATCTCCCCCCATCAGCATTTTTCTCTCTGGCAGGCACTACTCCCACTTGCGCTTCCCGAGCGCTCTTGGATGGAACAGACAAACAGGAAGGGTGGATGTGGATAAGGGTTGTTTATTCATTGAGCAACTCCTTAAAAAACAGAAAACCCAAACATTTTTGGTAACAAATGTTAAATCTTTTCCAGATGAGGTGTGTAGCCAGGAAAAGAGGGCAAGTTCCACCTCTCACCCCAGGGAGGACACACTGCTGGGCAGTGCTAGGATCCAGAGCCCCTCTGTGCCCAGCCATGCTGCGAGGAGCAGCCTTTCTCTGTCCCCATGTCCCCTCAGCCACAAGCTACGCCACCCTGAAACACAGTATTTACAGACCACAGATTCCCACATCACAACACTCCCTGTGCCCAACACATGGACCTGGAGCTTTAAAGGGCAGAAATAAAACCACCAAGCATCCAACCCAGACAGAAAGAAGACTCCAAAGAAACACCAAGGTTTGCACGGCAATAAAAAGATAGCCCTTCTAAAGGAGGTCAATAAATAGGAGAACTAGAAAAAATCAATTGCTTTTTAAGTTCAGCACATAAAGCCCAGTTCCACCTCCAGTGGGTGAGGAGGAAGTGAGGGCTGTGGGAATGCACAGAGGAATGTGGCTCTCTCCCCATCAGCATGGGTTTCTCTGCCCTGGGGCTTCTCATATCCATAAAGCTGCCCCTTGAGAGACAGATGCTACTGGCCAAAACCAGTCCCATGGTTGCCCACCAGCAGATAAACCAGGGGCATAGCAGGGGGACACAGCTGTGGGAGGAGTGAGGGGTGTTGGGGTGGGAGAAGCCAGGGAGCTTGGCTCTGCCTGGCCGCTCACCCCAGCCAACCCCCTTGGAAGGAAAACCAGTTTCTCCTGAGACATATCAATTCTACAGCGAGCGTTTAAATAGCTTGAAGTGCAAAAATCAGCTCAGGGATGGCAGGGTGTCCTCAGAAGCACCCTGCTCTTCAAGAAGGGGTGGGACTCTGCACCATCAGCCTGACACAGCTGCATCTTCTGACGCTGCTCCATGGCCATGGCAGAGTGATCCTCCAGCCTTCCTGCCATGCAGAAAACTCCAAATTTCTTGACCCCCACCCACTTCTCTTCACCTCCCAGTTGGGTCCCTAAGAGTCAAAAACCTCTGGGCATCTGCCCAAGGGCTCTTCAGCAGCCACCACATTTGCATTCATGTGAGAAGGAAATATCTCTTACAATACGGGTATTCAATATATATTTGAAGTCAGTTGAGGCTGAGCCAGCCATCGCCTCCACTAATGCCAGACCAGGGCGTGAGCCAGTGCCTGTTTCTTAAGGTCTTGGCACCAAGGTGCCCCAGCTCGGTCTCCTGGAGATTCTGAGGGGTGACTGCCTGCGTCCTTGCCACCCCTTGGAGAAGAAAAAGGGGACCCCTGCCACAGTCCCCCCACACCAGCTCATGGGGACGATGTGGGCTCCCTGTCTTCAGGCTTGTCGCTTTTGGAGGACTTTGGCTTCAGCAAGATGAACCTGTTGAGGAGGTCGGTGTCCGAGCTGGCCTGGGCGCCTGCATACGCCTCCCCTGGGGACAAAACAGGTGGTGGGCTCACCTGGTGGGGAAAGCTCTGGGGGCTGGAGGAGCAACATCTCCTCGGTGTGGGGTGGGGACACTCACCAGCATAGCTGGAGGACTCAGCCATGTTCTGGGAGCCAGTGATGTGGTGCCAGTAGGCGCTGCGGGGCAGCATGGTCGTGGGGGTGCAGGGGTAGGAGAAGTGCTCAGTGCCCTTGTTCAGCAGCTGCAGTGGATGGGGGGGAGGAGGGTGACACAGGGCTCCCAGAGTCTCCCCAGCTGTGTCCCCCCTCAGCATGAGCTGGAGCTCACCCTGACGTTCTTCTCCATCTCCAGCAGGACCCTCTTGTGCTGCTCAGCGATGGCCAACGTGGCGCTGTGCACGCGCTGGTAGATCTGCTCACCCTCCTGTGTCTGGAAGGTGTAGAGGCCTTCTCCTGCATCACACATCCTGTGGGGACAGGGCACAGGGTGTCACCAAGGTCTTCAAGCCAAGGGATGATAAAACCCACCCAGATGACAGCTGGCACAGCTTCCCATACTGTTAGAGCTGTGCCTGTGTCCCCTTCACGGTGCTGATCTGGGACCAGACCCAGCGCCAGGCCCTGCCTGCCTTGGGCACGCTGTGCAGCCATCAGCCCAGCCTCAGGCCTGCCCTGGGGTGATGCCAGCAGTGCCACTGCCTGGAGGAAGGCACAGAGCTGCGATCCCTGTCCTGGCACGGCTGACACCTCACCGTCCGGCCTCGAAGGTGAAGCGGGTGGCGTCGCGGCCGTAGCGGCGCAGGGAGCAGAGGGGCCAGGAGACCAGCTTCACCCGGGGGTTGTGCGTGTCCCAGAGGTAGATGTTTTCGTGGGTGATCTGCAGCTTGCACTCGCCATAGACGTCCAGGTTGGGGCAGGGGAGGAGGAACACGTTGAACCGGTCTGGAAAGGGGGAAAAAAAAACATAAAATAAAATAATCAGCGGGGGGTGCAGCAGGGCGGAGCCCCGGGCGAGCACTCCCGCCGCGCTCACCCGTCTGCTCGCACTGCACGCCGGGCGCCAGCAGGTCGGGCTCCCCCAGGCTGATGTCGTTCAGGCGGGCGCCCAGGCACTCCACCGACAGCGTCTTGTACCACTCCTCCGCCTCCAGCTCTGCAACGCACCACGGCAGCCCCTGGGCGACCCTGGCCACGCCGGGGTGCCCCACCCAGCGCCCTCAGCCCGGCTCCCCTGGGCGCTGCCCCGTACCTGAGTCGCAGGTGAAGGTCCGGGCGGAGTCGTCGGTAAAAACGATGGCCACCGCCTGTCTCTTGGTCTCCTTGGGCAGCCGCGTGATGCACTTGACATTGCTGATCTCGGTGACCTGCAGAGGAGTTGGGGGGTCACCGAGGGCTGCTCCCAGACCTTGACACCTGCAGCACCCGGACCCAGCCGCATCCCCTTGCGGAGCGCACCCAGCGAATTTAGGCAAGGAAGGACCTGCTCTGGCGCGGGTCCCCAAGCAGCAACCCGGCACCCCTCCGGCGCACCCCCTCACCTTGGGGCAGCCCCGCAGGCACGCCGACTTCTCATCCGGGTACTTCTCCAGGCGCTGGGGCCCTTTGCAGGAGGATTTGCGGAAGACCAGCCAGCACCGCCGGTAGATCTGCCGGACACAGAGCGCGGCGGCTGCTCGGTGCAACAGGGGCTCCCTGTGCCCCCCACATCCCCCTGTCCCCATCCCTCATCCCTGCTGACCCTGCTGGCCTGGGGACAGGAGGGGATGCTGGGGATGGGGCTATGCCGGGGCTGCCATCATCTGCCCCCACCCCCTGCCAGTGCTAATTACAGAGCTTAATTAATGAACACAGACAATGCTCCCAAGGGGACCGCTGTTCTGGCATTTCGCCGTCCCCTCTCCTACATTCCCTGACTCTGAGGGTGGTGGGGCCACCGTCCCCAGGCATGTCCCCCTCCCCTCGATCCCGCTCCCTCTTTGTTCTCCCTAATTAGCATGAAATTACCCAGCATGCTCGTTGCTGCGACTCCAAACCAAGGAGATAGGCGACCAAACCCCCTGACCCCCCACCTATGGGTGCCGCACTCCCACACCACCCTAATTTGCACCCAGCAGCTCCAGTCCCTCCCAGCGTGGGGCATTCCCGATGCCAAACTGTGTGTGCAGAGAAACTGAGGCACGGAGGGAAGGGAAGGCTCACAGACATTCCCCAAACCCTGGGTGACCTGGGACAGGTGAATGGGTGTTACTCGGTGCAGGATTCGGCCGGTGCAGATGTTGGACTCC